CATATAGAGTAAAAGTAATAAGTGGCTATTAATATTCAAGTTCAATATCTTTATTTAAGTTTTGGGAACAATAAGAGAACTATTCAAACAAATATAATGATGGAGAATGAGAAATATTGAATATTATGTTAATGTATTTTTAATCTGTTTATATAATTAAATCTCATTGCTAGTTTAAAGCTTTTAAACACTCATCTGAATATTTTATATTGGTTACCTTTTTTTATTAAAGCCCATTATTTATTTTGGTTTAAATTTAAAGCTAAGTCATAAAATATTAAAGCTTCTTCATATTAATTCTATTATTGTAAACATTAACCTATCAACTAGAAAAAGATATCAACCTTTTACCAATAAGGAAGAATAATGATTTGGATTAATTTGTAGAGATAAATCTATTACTTCCATAGCTTCTTCTAATCTTTACAATTATCTTAATGAGTCACCTTCGAATTACAAATAATTAGTACTTTTAGTGGATAATGAATAAAAATGATGTGGATCTATTAACAGTGCTTAATCTGCCAAAATGATTGCTTCATCATATTAGCCAAGCAACATTAAACTATCAGCTAACATATAAAATAACAATCATACCTTTGCAATATATTGAATGGCAATGTGTTGGATCTATTTACAGTACTTAATCTGCCAAAATTATTGCTTCATCATATTAGCCAAGCAATCTTAAACTATCAGCTAACATATTAAATAAATATTGTGCCTTTGCACCATAATGAATTACAATGCTTTGGATCTACTTATAATGCTTTATCTGCCCAAATGATTGCCTCATTATATTCTTCAAGCATCCTTAAACTCTGCGCTAATACATTTTCTAATAATGATCATACCTTTGCAATGAAATGAATTAATGTTATTTGGATCTACTAATAACATTTTATCTGCCTAAATGATAGCATCTTTATATTAACCAAAAAGCATTAAAGTGTCCACTAACACTTAAATTAATAGTCTTACCTTTGCAATTTAATGAATTAATGTGATTTGGATCTACTTACAATGCTTTATCTACCCAAATAATTGCCTCATTATATTAGCCAAGCATTCTTAAACTTCTCGCTAACACATTATCCAATAATGGTACCTTTACAATATAATGAATAACAATGCTATGGATCTACTTACAATGCTTTATCTATCCAAATGATTGACTCATTATATTAGCCAAGCATTCTTAGACTCTCAGCTAATTCATTATATAATAATCATACCTTTGCAATGTAATGAATAACAATTTGTTGGATCTATTTCCAAAGCTTTATCTGCCCAATCGATTGCTTCATTATATTTACCTAGCATCTTTAAACTCTCCGCTAAAACATTATATAATAATCAGACCTTTGCACCATAATGAATAGCAATGATTTGGATTTACTTGTAATGCTTTATCTGCCCAAATGATTGCTTCATTATATTAAGCAAGCATCTTTAAACTCTCCGCTAATTCATTATATAATAATCATACCTTTGCAATATAGTGAATAACAATGCTATGGATCTACTTACAATGCTTTATCTGCCCAAATGATTGCTTCATTATATTAATCAAGCATCTTTAGACTCTCCGCTAATTCATTATATAATAATCATACCTTTGCAATAAAGTGAATAACAATGATTTGGATCTATTTCCAAAGCTTTATCCGCCCAATCGATTGCTTCATTATATTTACCTATCATCTTTAAACACTCCGCTAATTCATTAAAATATATTTATACATTTGCACCATAATGCTAATTTATGTTTTGAATTAAAAGTTAATGATTCATCAAATACTTTAATCGCCTCTTCATAGTTATCATCATCCAAATATAGTTTAAAGCCTAACTTTATAGATATTTTACCTTTTTAATATAATTCTTCCGATTTATTAATGTCTTAATTAAATACTTCTTACTAATCTAATTCAGATAACTTAAAATCAGATAATAATTTTTTCATTTAATCTTTGAAATCCTTAAGGGATTTTTAGATTATTTAGACTAGTTACTCAAATGATTTGAATTGTAAACTATCTGATAAGAAGCAATTCATTAATTTATTATTTAAGTTTAGGAATTACTGTTTAGATTTCTGATATTTAGATTTAATTCCAACAATCAATTACTAAAATTATTGATTAGCCAAATCCATTTATTTATTCAAAGTATTAATTAAATCTTAACTTTCTTTTTCAATTCTTTAAATGTGCTCAAATAACAATGGTATTTCTTATTAATGTTAAGGATGGGAAGCATGAGTGTCATTTCTTATACATTAGATGCACTATAATCTATTTGCTTTACAAGATTCATTAAAACATACGAGCTTTACATCATCTCCATGCTCTGGATTTGGACATTTGATAGAAACATCATTGTTTTAATTCATAGTTAATATTAATATTAAATCATTTTCTAATTCTATTAATATATATAATAAAGTTTTTATTATTAAATAATTTTGTAATTTATTAAATTAGCATTCTATATTAATCCAACATTATAAATTATAATCTTTATAGATTCAATAAAATATAAATAATGTATTCTACAATGATTTCTAATCGTGGATAGAAATAAAAAGGATTATATTTGAGAATCAACTTCTAATAATTGTTTAAGATTAGAGGACAACAACAAAGAAATGAATTGATTCTAAATTTTGATATTTCTCAAGCAAATATTTTCATCATCTTTCATATACAATACTTTCTCGCGCCTTTTATTTATAAGGAAATGTTTGAAACAAGTCATTTCTCAATATTCTAGATATTTTGTTTTAAATCAAAAATGAATGATAAAGCCTGTTTAAGCACAAAATACAGTTTAGATTGTTGCCCCTTAGTGTAATTATTGAGCTATTTCTTTTTCTGAGTCATTATTTGTATTTCTAAAGCTTTATAAAATGAAAAATAAAGTGATTTGTTCAAAATTTACATGTATTATTTCTAATAGTCAAGACTTTATTTCTATCAGTGATTATTTTTAATGGCAGGATTAATATTTTTTTTATACTAGTAATTCATAAATACAATATATATTTTAATTCAAACATAATTTTAGATTTAATAGTAATTATTGATTAGAAATCAAAGTTTCTAGGCTCATTTAAATTAAGATATTTATTATGGTTGATTCAATCTTGCATAAAAGTTATAGGATTTTAGCTTTATTATTTTTTAGAACACAAGCTTAAGACAAGGATTATTTAATTATAATTAATTCAATCCTTCATTAACAATAAGAATTAAAATATTTTAAGATGTTTACTGAAATGTTAGTGTTTTATGCTGACATCATTTTTCTTACAAAAATAGTAATCTAACAAAAGAAATAAAATATCAAGGTATTTTTTAATTTTCATTCAGAATTCAAAGGATTATCCTGAAACATTTATTTTTTTTCTTAATAATCATTATTAATTGAGAATGAAACTTCATAAGTTTTATAGCTGGTTTTAAATTTGCATTTATGAGATCTAACTAACATCATGAACTTAATAGTAAATCATATAATACGTTGATTAAAATATATTCAAGATGTTAATAAAAAATGTGGTCTATAATGGGATGAGATTGAATTCAAATTCATTTGTAATTTAAACCCCTTTTGGAAATAGTTATTTATCTATTCATATGATCATTCATTTTAAATTCATAAATTATTATCATAAGAAATAATATAAAAGGTTTTACTTTTACATTACATTCAACTTATTAAAGGTATAATTGTTATAGAAAAATTTAACCAGATACTCAATAAATGGTGCTCCATAATTTACATTCTCATGTGCCAAGTGCTATTCTTATGATATTATTAATTATTTTGTGATTAGAGCTCGCTTATCTCCACTATCCTCTTATGAATAACTTTTATTTTAGTTTGCAGTAAAAAATGTAAAATCCAGGTGATTATTGTAAAATATTCGGAAGATAAATAACTTGAAGTTCTAATTTTTCAAAATAATTATTGATTAAAGTTAATTAAATTACATATTTATTCATCATATATAAATATTTTATTAA